GGCCGTCTGTCCCGCCTGTTGACCTTTGCCTCATCTCTTCCTCGTCTCACAGCCGCCTCTCCTGACCGATCTCTGTCAGGGAACAGGATTAGATTTATTTAATGTTTCCATTCAGACTGATGATCAGTGAATCTTCTGAGGTAATAATTTTCCAGGTATGCACCAGCTGAAGGTGGGGCTGTGGTTCACTTCCTGGTTCACTTCCTGTCTGCCCCTCTGCAGGTTTTTGTTCAGGCAGGTCGGATCGTTTCTCACTGTGGGAACCAGACATCCAGCAGACGCAGTAATATGAGCCACTATGATCCACTTTAACTTTCTGGATCACCAGATTACAGCCGTTTGGTTCAGGTGTAGCTAAGAAATCCTTTCTCAGAGGATCATTAAAATTAAGAAGGTAATTAACTTTTTGATCGGTCAGATCGAAGCGTAGAATCGCTGTGAACGGATCTCTCTCTGTGGTTCGGTACCAGTAAACCTGCTTTGCATCACATGTGTCTGTTCCTGAGCACTTTAAAGAGACGGTGCTTCCAGCCACAGCAACAAATGATAACTGGTCCTGAACCAGCGGTGTTGCCATGGCAGCCAGCGCTGTAGAGACACAGACAGACAGGTGAAGGTTAGTGTGACAGTGTTTGTTCCAGGTGGACTTTGTTGCCTCCTGATTGGTGGAAACACTCTCCTGAACCCAGCCAGCACAGAGCAGCAGCTGGGAGGAAAAGCATTGTGTGCAGTGGAGTTTCCTCTGGTGAACCTGGGGAGAAGTGGAGCTCTGATGCAGCTGAGGCCAAACAAGGACGAGCTGAGAGATCAGACCAGGGCCACGTGGTTTCTAGCAGAGGAACCAGAGCTCCCATCAGCCCCTGCTCTGGACAGAAATAGATGGCGTTTGATAAGTTCCTGCTTCGCTGTCCTTCAACTCCAGCAGTCATTTTAACTACATTTTTTCTCTTTTTGTTTGCATTAAGATACATCATTTCATCTCTAATAGCTTTATTCATCCTTTTAATTAAACCATTAAACAGCAACACAGAGACGACGTGAAACATCACAACCCTGAAAGGAAAGCAGCGTCTCTGTTCTGCTCTCCTGAAGCTTCGAAGCGTCTCCCACAATAAAAGCTCTTTGTTCTGCCGACATGTTTGTGTCGTGATTTAGGTGTTGAATTCTCTGAAGCAGAGAATTTCACACAAGAGTCAGACTTTTGTTTTATTGCTATTAACACATTCTGCTGGTGTTTTTGCATCTGACTGACCTTCAGAAGCTCTGGTAAATGTTTCTCCAGCAGGTGGAAGCTGAAAGTGGAGATGTTCCTTTCTACTGTCACCACATGCTAGCTCAGTAATGCTTCCTAACTCTTTGCAATCATCTGGGGATCTTAGAAAACATTTTATACTTTTATCTGCTAAATTTAATTGAATTATTTTATCATTCAGATTAAATAAGAATAAAGATTACATTTGAATCTGATATAGAAAAACTTTACTGGGTTGAATTGATTCTACATTTTTACATACCTATAAAGTGCATTGAGATTAAATTTATTGTGTATTAATGTTATATAAATAAACAACAGAACAGACAATAGTGTTGAAATCTTCTGGTGGTGATATCAGACCTAATCAGCTGAATAAAATCCTCCACATTTCTGGCCTGCATCAGGATCAAATTGAATTTAATTATTTGTACTGGAAATAATACAAATAATTTTCATAAAGAAGTTGTTTCAGTTTAGATTTTCTTGGTCTTTTTAAGTCTGGACAAACCTGCTTTCCCCAGTAATAAATACACAGGATGAGAAATAGCACAGCAAAAATAAAAAAAAGATACATTTGAACATTACAGACAAACCCTCTGCAGCTGAAAGCTGCAGTTCAACTAGTACAAAGAGTAAAACTGCCATCTGGTGGTCAGTTCAAAGGAGTAAAAACTAAAACTCATAGGCTGCTTTGAGTTTTAGTGGAATACAAGTCTATTTGATGCTTGACATTATTACATAAGAAAATCGTGTTTTCTGAAAATTAATAAAGGATATCAGAAAACTTAATGACTGTACCAAGTTTAATACTTTCAGACCCCGAGGACAGAAGATATTCATGTATCTGCTGAATCACCTCCAGGATTACAGCAGAGACAGCAGGCTGTATCTGGTTTCCTTTGCACTTTATTGATTTCTCTGATGTTCAGGAGATGATTACTGAGAACCTTATAGACACTTTGAATCCTACCAGACCCTCAGTGTTGTATAACTTAATGTTTTCACGTTTTATCCTCTTCCTTTCTCCCTAACTGAATTGTTGAGGCTCAGCACAGGAATGCATTCACAGGTCTAATAAACCTTACGATAACAAAACAAGGTGTTACAAAAACATTCGGTAAAAAGCCCTGTCATTCAGGCCCCTTAAAATATTTGCTCCACATAAGCTATATTTTATATATCCGGTTTAAGCCGAATTATTTATATATCAGTACAATAAATTACGAGATATTTTTTTCTGGTGTTTTGTTCGTCTAAAGTGAAAAATCAGGCATAAAAATTTAAATGAACATATTTCTAAATGAAATTCAGCAGACTAGTGCCTAGGATCATCAGGACTCTCTGGTTTTCATAATTAACTTTTTACCAATGTTCCAAGATGCATGTAAAAGCTGCTGTAAAGACTGAAAATGCGTCGCATTAATAAAATATGTTTTTATTAATCGTGTTATTGTTGATAAAGTAAGAACTCTGCCAGAATTCACTTCCTTACACAACAAAACGACGACATACGGCTATGCATTCTGGGAAATGTAGTAGGGTTAAGTATACCGTTTATGAACATATTAAAGTATATCGTAAGTTCATGTTAATTAATGGTCAATTACATTATTTTGTGTAATATTTCTAATCATAAAATATATATGTGGGAAATTTGGAGCAAATGAATGGTTTCAACTCATTATTATTCAGATGTACTACAAGTCCCAGAAGCCCTGCGTCATTACGTATGGACGTTTAGCAACGGTCAGTTGCTAAAGGAAAGCCAGCCGCTTCCGTGTTGTTCTGGTGTTATTCTGGTTGAAAACAGTCGTTAGCGCGGTCGGAGCTGACCTGACAGCCTCTCTGCGGGGTTATTATCATGGTTCTGTGAAGCTTGGAGAGATTTTCACCTCATTTTTCCCGAAATGTCGCTGCTGCAGAGCTCCAAGAAGAAAGACAAGCGCATTCTGTGCGGTACCTGCCCGGACCCGAAATGCCAGGCGCGGCTCTTCTTCCCCGCTCACGGCTCCATCAGCATCGAGTGCACGGAGTGCGGCCAGCGGCACGAGCAGAGCGGCCTGCTGAACGTGGAGGAGGTCACCGACCCGGACGTGGTGCTCCACAACCTGCTCAGAAACGCCCTGCTCGGCGTCACCGGGGCCCCGAAGAAGGGGACCGAGCTGGTGAAGGTGATGGGGCTGTCCAACTACCACTGCAAGCTGCTGTCCCCGGTGCTGACCCGCTACGGCATGGACAAACAGACCGGTAAAGCCAAACTGCTGAAAGACATGAACCAGGGGGAGATCTTTGACTGCTCCCTGCTGGGGGACCGTGCCTTCCTCATAGAGCCGGACCATGTCACCACCATGGGGTACGGCAAAGACCGCTCCGGGAGCCTGATCTACCTCCACGACACCCTGGAGGAGATCAAGAAGGCCAATGGCAACAGAGAGTGTCTCATCCCGGTCCACGTGGACGGAGATGGACACTGCCTGGTCCACGCGGTGTCCAGGGCCCTGGTGGGTAGGGAACTGTTCTGGCACGCGCTGAGAGAAAACCTGAAGCAGAACTTCAAGCAGAACCTGGACTGCTACAAAAACCTGTTCCAGGACTTCATTGACGCTGCAGAGTGGGAGGACATCATCAATGAGTGCGACCCCCTGTTCATCCCCCCTGAAGGCGTCCCATTGGGACTGCGTAACATCCACATATTCGGGCTGGCCAACGTCCTCCACCGTCCCATCGTCCTGCTGGACTCCATGAGCGGGATGAGGAGCTCCGGCGACTACTCTGCCACCTTCCTGCCTGGACTTGTCCCAGAGGAACAGTGCAAGGGGAAGGACGGGAAGCCGAACAAACCCATCTGCATCGCCTGGAGCAGCTCTGGCAGGAACCACTACGTTCCTCTGGTGGGCATCAAGAACACGGTTCTCCCTAAGCTGCCGCCCCGCCTGCTGCCAAAGGCCTGGGGCGTCCCGCAGGAGCTCATCAGGAAGTACATCAAGCTGGAGCCGGACGGGAGCTGTGTGATCGGAGGCGACCGCAGCCTGCAGGATAAGTACCTGATGCGGCTGGTGAACGCCATGGAGGAGGTGTTCATGGAGAAGCACAGCATCCACCCGTCACTGGTGGCCGACGTTCACCAGTACGTCTACCGGCGGACCGGCGTGATCGGCGTCCAACCGGAGGAGGTGACAGAGGCGGCCAAGAAGTCTGTGGTGGAGAACCGTCTGCACCGCTGCCTGATCTGCGGCGCCCTCTCTGAGCTGCACATCCCGTCCGAGTGGCTGGTACCGGGCGGGAAGCTCTACAACCTGGCTAAGTCCACGCACGGTCAGCTGCGGCCCGACAAGAACTATAGCTTCCCCCTCAACAACGTGGTGTGCTCTTACGACCCCCACAGAGACTTCCTGGTCCCGGACTACAAACTGAGCTCCCTGAACACCTGCACCTGGTGCCACGGGACGTCGGTGCGGCACATCCGTGGGAACGGGTCGGTGGTGTACCTGGACGGGGACAGAACCAACAGCCGGTCTCAGGGGGGGAAGTGTGGCTGCGGCTTCAAGCACTACTGGGATGGGAAGGAGTACGACAACCTGCCCGAAGCCTTCCCCATCACCCTGGAGTGGGGGGGCAGGGTGGTCCGGGAGACGGTGTACTGGTTCCAGTACGAGACGGACCCGACGCTGAACAGCAACGTGTACGACGTGGCCATGAAGCTGGTCACTAAGCACTTCCCTGGAGAGTTTGGCAGCGAGATTCTGGTGCAGAAGGTGGTGAACACCATCCTGCACCACACGGCCAAGAAGAACCCGGATGAGTACAACCCCGTGTCCATCGACGGGGCCCACGCCCATCGCCTCGGCGACGGGACGGAGGCGCCGCCGCCGCCGGACCCCCAGCTGCCCACCAAGATCATCCTGACGGGCCAGAAAGCCAAGACACTCCACAAGGAGGAGCTGACGATGAGCCGGGCCGAGCGCAGCCTCCAGCAGAGCATCAGTGAGCAGGCCTTCGTCTCCCAGAAGAGACGCTCCGACAAGCTGAAGCCCGACCCCAAAGGTCAGGGCCGGACCTCGTCCCCCAGCGGCTCCCCAGAAACCTCTTCCTCCTCAGCTCCCGCCACGCCCACCAAGACCTCCTCCCCCTCCTCCTCCTCCAACAAGGAGAAGAAGATCCGGGTGACGACCAGCGACGGGCGGCAGGCCATGCTCACCCTGCCGGCCCTCACCACCTTCGCGGAGCTGCGGCGGAGCATCGCCAAGCAGTTCGACGTGCCGCCGCCGCAGCAGTGCATCCGCTACGGCTTCCCCCCCAAAGAGCTGCTGCCGCCCCGCAACGGCGAGGAGAACGAGCCGGTGGCCCTGCAGCACGGCGACAGGGTGACGGTGGAGATCCTGAGGGGAACCGAGGACAGGGGCCCCGGGGCCCCCATCACCAGGGCGACCAGCTCGCACTCCGCCCTGCACTCGGCGAAGAGCGACGACGCGGTGACGGGCGGCCGGACGAGCAGCCGGGAGATCCAGGAGAGCATCGACCTGGAGATGTCCTCCCTCTGTCTCCTAGCAACCCTGATGGGTAAGAACATGGCGACATGCAGGTCAGACCTTCATCCTTTATGACATCACATCCTGTAAGCAGCCTGGCAGAGCTCATGTTCCAGAATAAGATCAGATCACATGGTTTTAATTTTCTAACTAGTGCTGCGATATGCGCGTAAAGTTTTATCACAATGTTTCGTGGTTCTATTGTGATAGAAGAAGTATTTATTTATTATTTCTCTTTTAGGTAACTTAAAGCCTGTTGCTGCAATAAAACTTCACAAACACAAAAGCTAACCTTGGAAAACATTCCCATTGGTAACGAGTTTCTTTAGGTGAGCAGTCACATGAAGAAGTGTCATTTCTCTCTGAAATCGACACAATAACTGGATTTTCAAATTTATAGGTATTTATTATGTCAGGACTTTTCTACATCAGATGTTTACAGACTATCTAGTTAAACCTGATGGAGGGACTTTACTAAAACTTTTAATCAAGTTCATTTCAAGGTCTGTAATTAACTAATCAAACTGTATATCAACAAAATAAGCAACATTTTCAATTCAAAACACTTTTTGCTGCTAGATTATTGAATAAATAGACATGAGCTCAACAACAAACATATTCCTAGTGATCGGGGTGAGAGACCCCGACCCCGCTGAGTCCAGCGCTGATGTTAGCGGATGTAGCAGAAACACAACACAAAGGTTCCAGCTCACAGTTTTTGTATGTAAACAAAACTATTTGGTTAACTGTGTTGGACTGTGTTTTTCTGTAATGTGTTAAATAAGATTCATTGTAATGAATCTAAATTAACAGGTTGAAGTCTCTGGCCTAGTTAAAGCCCAGTCGTCTTCTACTCTGGGTCTTCAGGCTGGTTTCTGTCTCCTAATATTTAGTTATGTTTATGTAATAACTAAGAAGAGTAGCAGCAGTGTTCTTCTTAGTTTTGTTTTCATTTCGAGAGAAACTGAGAGCTTTGCTGATTGGTCGAGCTGTGCAGCGCAGACGCATGCTGGCTTCTGATTGGTTGGCCCCCAGCGGACTGCAGCTGAATGAACTCTCAGGCTCCGGAGCGTTACCAGAAACTCTGCATTCACTGATGTGTGTTCAGTCAATCTGCTGACTCCAGCATCTCGTCCCCTCCCTGTGTCAGCTGCCAAAAGGGTCAAAGGTCGCCGCTGCTCTCAGATAAACACAGAACATGACGAAGCGTTGCTGCTGATTTTCAGGAAGGTTTTTTATCTGAGCTCTCTGTTGGACCTGACGCTGCACTTCCTGTCCAGCGGACAGGAAGTGCATCAGAGCTGCAGCCGGACAGCTGACTGCTGGAACAACCGATCTGCAGAAATGTTCAGTGCTTTATCAGTGCTAATAATTATATTAGGACTTTAGCTGCTAATATAAATATTAGCAGCTGAAGTCAGTTAAATATAATCAGCAACAAACGGTTTTATAAGCTGAACATTTAAAACATGTTTCAGTTCCTCGATTTTCAGCTGACAATAAATATAGAAAAAATGGTTTGGTGACAGAAAAATTGTCTGGTTTAATAAGCAATTATTTTCAAAATTAGCTTCTGTATTTAAATGTAAAGTAAAATGCAGATAGATGTTTCGTTTTGTCTCAGTAAAATGGTTGTAAAAATCAATATTTATGCTAATTTGATGGTCTAATTCTGGTGTCTTCAGCTTTTTAAAAGCCATTTCTGCCCTCAGTTTTCCTCATTAAAACTCACTCAGACACTCATGTCACATGACTTTAAAAACAACATAAATAATGACAAATATTTACTATCTTATTATTTTTTTAAAAGCACCATTTTCTTCAATGCTTCTATGTTGAAGCTTCGAAATAAAGAAAAACATAAAACATCTGCAGAAAGAGGACACATTTATTCTGTGAGATGTTATTTGCAGAAATTATACAAAAAAACATTTCTAATTAGATCATAAGACAAATAGGTTATTATTACTCCTGGTACTTTAGTGTCATTCTGCAGTTATTCCGTGAAATAAGCTGAAAACCTGCTGAAACCTCCATCTGTAAGTTGGTTCCTTTTCTATTTTCAGTCGGTCTTTGTGGAAGGACCAGCGAGCCTCTTGTGGCCTGGAGCCGCGGGTTGAGGACCGCTGGTCTGAGCCATCAGCTCCTGATTGATCGGAAACATTTCTGGGTTTCTGATTGGCTGCGTGGAATAAACCTGTGATGTCATCAGGGGGTCAGAAACCTGGGATTTTTTTTTTTTGCGTAACATTCGACTTGTTCTTCAGTCTGAGCTTTTTGACCTGAAACATCTCATAAACACGTCGTCATAGTAACATCATCCTGACACAACAAGGAACTGATGGTAATATTAACCAGGCCAGCAGCTTTAAGCCGTCCTGCTCTGTAAGCTGCTGTAGTAAGATGAAAACTAGATGCAGTTGGTTATTAATTTGATTTCATTTTAATCATTTAGCTTCATTTGAATTATGGGATCCATGCAGTGAATCTAGTTTTCCACATTCAGATTTTCATTGCAGTCTCCATGGCTCAGACGTTTTCTGCTGTCAGAACCTCGTGTTGTGTTCAAGGTCTCTGCGTGTTTCTGGACGCCTGTAACCTGTTAACCGTGTTCTTTTCAGGCGAGGACGTTTGGTCGTACGCCAAGAAGCTGCCGCACTTGTTCCAGCAGGGCGGCGTCTTCTACAACATCGTCAAGAAAGACATGGGTGAGTTTGTTTTCTCTGGCAGCAGCCAGAGCACGAACTGAGCATGCTCAGAACCCCGGACCTCTGATAGATTGTAGGTTTTATTTTTTAAATGAATGCAGCTGTCTTAATGGGAAGATTTGGGTTTCTGTGTTATTTCATTCAGTACAGTAGGTTTAAAAACCAGAGTATTTCCAGCTTGAAGCTTCAAAGCTTCATCACATTTACACAACAAAGAGCTGGGAGTGAGGAGAGCTGCTGCGGTGAAAACAATCACTGAGATAAATTTAACCTGAGACTGAAGACGTTTCACAGCAGATCGTCTCCTTCACTCTGAGTTCATGGCAAAAATCAGAGTCTGGAGAGAAACTTTACAGAAATGGAAGAGAAGATCAAAAACTGTCTTCAGTAAATCAAGATGCTTAAAATAAGAGAATTAAAAACCCAAACCTTCATTTTAAGGCTTTATTACATTGATGTTGATATGTGAATATAATCAGGTCTTTATAGTGGGGATATTGACTAGAGTGTCACTGTGATGACAATAAATTAGCTTTATATTGTGCAGACGGAGTGTAGATGTACTGATGTGTTAATAGGGTGAATATTAATGAGGCGAGGACACGACATATGAAATTATATATATATATAATTTATTACTTTTCTTTTCTTTTTTACTCAGGTTAATGAAAAGTTGATAACTAGATTAGTTGACGTACTTTGTATATGTCAGTAGTCTGATTTCCCTAATGAATCACTTTCATGATTAGTTAAATAAGTTAAAGTGTAGTCTGAGTGTTCTGATCGGTTCTGGTCTGTTCTGACCGGTTCTGGTCTGTGCTGACAGGTTCTGGTCAGTTCTGACCGGTTCTTTGTGTCTCCTCCAGGCCTCATGGACGGGAAGCATTGCACGCTGCCTCACCTGACGGGGAAAACCTTCGTCTACAACGCGGCGGAGGAGCGGCTGGAGCTCTGCGTGGACGCCGCGGGTCACTTCCCGGTCGGGCCGGACGTGGAGGAGCTGGTGAGGGAGGCGGTGCTGCAGCTGCGCTCCGAGGCGGCCTCTAGGGGCAGCAGAGAGGGCAGCCCGTCCCACGGCGTCCTGCGGCTGGGCAGCGGCGGCGTCGTCCGCAAGAAGGAGCAGCTGCAGAGCGTCACCGCCTTCCAGGGCAAAGGTCACTCCCTCGGGAGCGCCGGAGGCTCCTCCCCTCCAGAGCACCGGCCAATCACGCGGCAGCACAGCAGCGGCGTGGACCTGAGCGCCAGCGTGTCCAGAGGAGCGCCGGACCTGTCGGACATTCCCGAGGACGCCACCAGAGAGCTGGTCCGCATGGCGCCGGGCTTCGTGGCCAGCAGGGACGGCCGCGCGCCCGACCCGGGCCTGATGGAGCAGCAGCGCCGCAAGCTGCAGGAGATGGTGTCCTCCATCCAGGCCTCCATGGAGCGCCACCTGAAGGAGCAGCAGGGCGCTGCAGGCGCCGTGGGCGGGGCCAGCCAGGAGCGGACTGCTGGGACCAAACCCGGCACCGCGGCCGCCACGGGGGGCAAACCGGAGGAGCCAGAGGAGATGGAGAGCCAGGACGCTGGGCAGGGCAACGCCAGCGAACCCATGGACCACTCCTGATGGCGCCGCCACCGCCGCCGCGCTGCCTCCGCCCCCTGACCGCCGCCTGCTGCCCCGCTGCAGGCCGGACCCCAAAGCTTAGGTCTTCATTACGTCGCGTCGTCTTTACTGCATGACTGAGGAGCGAGCTGACCGCCCTGCTGCTGCCGTGGCAACCGTCACTGAGCTGAGACACGGAGGCGGTCCGTCTGCGGCGCATCGTCACTCCGCCACTGTTTGTGTCTTTACTCCGCTAACTGTCTCACTCAGAGGCAGGAAGTAAATCCAGAGCAAACGGATTTATTTCCTTCTTCAGGAGAACTTTCCCTCCAGCTGATGACTCTCCGTCAGCGACGGCTCCCAGTGTTCCCAGTCGCCTGGAAGCTGACCGGATTGTTTCTCCAGCCTTCTGAATCCCTCCTGCAGACGCCGATTCTTCCTGCTTCAAACCGGCACCGAAGAACCCGGTCAGGTTAATGAGCGGGGCACTTCCTGTCTGCACAGGAAGTGATAATTGGTCCACAGAGGAGACGCCCCGCATAATCGCTTCCATTGTTCAACTCTGCTGCCTTCATCACCAACACCTGCTTTGCTCCCACCGCCTGGCTGACGAATGCTGGACTCCTGAAGCCGTCAAACTGCGCCACCTGCAGGCAGGAAGGAGCCCCTGCAGAGGTTGACAGCCCAAAGTGAGCTTCAGGTGTCTGCTGAACCCGACTGTTAGAGACGCAGGCGAGTAACGAATTAAAGGAAAACACCGACTGAAGGAAACGATTCTCCTGAATGAATCTATTCCAGCTGTGATTTTAGGTTCGTTCTTCTTTCTCACGTAGGAATCTGTTCACAGCCAATCAGAGCTGAAAACCGGTTGGGTTTGGTTTTGGTTGTGGTGCTTTTCTGAGTGAGTCACTTTCATTAAACACTAAAGGAATGAGTTCACAGGTAGATATTGTACAGCAGTGTGTGCCACTCACTTAATAAAACATCAGGTGTTAATAATAATAGTTTCTATGTACAACTTTAGCTGTTTTTATGCGCAGAAGCCATATTGGATTCTGAACCTCTGATTTTTCCAGGTGAAATTCTGTATTTTAGAGACGCTCTTCCTGGTTTTTCTCACTGGAAACTTGCAAAGTCAAACTCTTTAGTGTTTGTTCTGTTGAGTTTCAATCTCAGTTTTGAAGTAAGTATTTCTAAAACCTGACAGAGTTCTGATCAGAGGAACATTTATTGTAGGCTGACAGATTTGGGCTTCGATCCAGGAAGTTCTTTGAAACGGATCAGCTTCATGCGTCACTCTTTCCTCTAAGGAGTCGACGGTCCAGATCAGGGACATGTTGCCCATCAGAACCTCCCCTGTAGAGACATTTAGACCCATATTGAGCATTCAGTGGTGTGTTCATCCACCCTAACTGCATGACGTCCTCCATGCAGGTCTAAACTCAGATCAACCTCAACATCCTCTCACTTCCTGTTAGTTTGACTCTCATCATTCTGGAGGTTTCAGCAGTTTGTAATTCCTTTAATTCTTCACTCGTCTGTTGAATGTAAAAACGTCCCAACAGTGAAATGCCAAAGAGAAACGTTTTCTGATCGGCATTTTAGAGAAGTTCAAGTTGAGGATTCAGATGGAAGCAGGTTGACGAACTGGAGGTCAGTTTATGCAGCAACTTTTACAGATGAATTTGTTTTTCTTCAGTTTAAAAGTTGATTCTAACAGCAGTTTGAAGCTCCTGTTGCCAAAATGAGAAGTCAGAAAAACCCAACCTGAAGAAAACATGAGCAGTGAAGGGAGAGGGGAGTGGCTCCCCCTGGTGGAGAGAAAGTCTCATTGCAAAGATATTTAAGTAAATATGTCAAATAAATCAAGTTTAGATTAAAAAAAGTGGCGATTCAAAGACAACACAGAACAAATTTCCTAAAAAGATGTGATTTATTTCTCTTGTGGATGGGATTTTTATTTTTTATTTTTGAATTGTTTTGAGTTTGAAGCTTCTTGTCAAACCTGATTATTTTTCCTGGGCTCTGAAAGCTGCAGTCACCGAATGCCTGAGCAGAACTTCCCTCCATCTGGACCCGCTTTCACCCAAACGTCTGTTTAAACAGCAGCCAAAGAAAAACCGGGTTAAAGTTGCTCCTTTGTGTTTCTGCCGTTTTAATATTTCACCAAATTACAAAAGAAATAAATAAAAAATTGGGAAGCTCAGAAGTTTTGCTGGGTTACATGAAACATGAAGAAATAATCTTTTATTTGTTTGTTGAGTTTTTCTGGCGTTTGGCAGATTTTGTAACGTCAAACGGGAACCGATCAGAACAAAGCGTTTCCCCTCCAGAACCTGGCTCCACCTGCTGGACCTGAACACTGCTCCAGCACCAGAACACCAAAGGTCCAAATGATCGGTTCCGGAAGAACTCCTGGATTATGTCACATCTCAGGTTCTGGTTGGGCTCCAGGTTCCTACAGGAAACTCGTTTCCACCGCGTCTTTCCTCACGTTTCTCATAAAAACTCATGAAAAGCTTCCAGTTCAATCTTTTGTTTCTGCAGCTGAAGTTTGAAACAATCAGCACAAAGTTTCTGTTGTAATGTTTCTTTTCTCACTCTGGTTTTATCGCTCATATAAACCTTAAAGCTTCTCATTTTGTTGAACTCGTCTCACACAGTAACGCTGAGTTTGTGTTTTACTCTCCTGCAGTCAGAGCTCTGATGCTTTTGGAGGAGGTTGTTGCCATGACGACAGCCAGACGTGGCTGGACTCCTGTGACACCAGTTTAGTTTTATTTAATTTGACGGATGCTCAATCATTTGACACTTAGAAAGTTAGTCTTTTAAAGATAAACATTTTTGGAAGTTGAGTTTATTCTGAAAGGGAAGCTGAGATTTGCTGCCAGTGATCAGGTTTCTGTCCGTCTGCTGACTAGAAGCTGGTTCTGTTCTGGTTCTGTTCTGGTTCTGTTTTGGTTCTTTCCTCAGAAATCATCAGTTTTAAAGTGTTGTTGTTTAAATCTTTAGTTTTCTGCTCCTGGTTGAAGTGAAGAAATGTAAAACTCGGCACTTTGAGGTTGTTGAACCCGGAGCAGAAGGACTCTTCGGATCAGAACCTCCTGCTGTCACCGACCCGCGGCTCCTCCGTGTTCCTGCTGTATTATAGTACATATTGTAGAATATTTGGACCTGTACAGAAACCGCTCCGTTTCTCCTTCAGTTGGTTCTTTTGGATCTTCTGTCTGGTTGCTAATAAAACGCTGACGACACTCTGCTTCACGTCGCCGTTTGCATGAAAACTTCTCAGCTCCACCAATAAAATCACTTCCTCCATTTGTTTGTGAGCCGAGTCCTTCGGGTGACGTTCATGTTTTCCATTTCTCTCTGTTGTCTGTTGATCAGCTCCAGGATTCAGGCTGGAACTGGTCATCTGGTCCTCAGTGGTGGGGCCCCAAGAAACAATAAGATGGAGAATAAAGTCATTTAACAAAAATAAAGCTGAAATAATGCAAGAATAAAATCATAATATAACAGTCATATAAGAATAAAGTAATATTACGAGAATAATAATATTCATGCATCGTTTAGACTTCACTGTGTTGATGTTGCATCAGCTTGTCTTTAGTTGGACTTTGAATTCAACTCAACTCCCAAGGAGATGATTGAAACGAGCAAAGTTTCACAAATATTTTTCTTTTATTTGTAATTTCTTTTAAACAAAAGAAATTTAGATTATTTAATCAGATTTGGTATGAAAATGTCTGAGATTTTATATTGAAGCTATAATGTCCGTAGGTTGGCCTCCATTTACTGGATATGGATTAAAAGTGGAAAGTTTCCCCAACAACATTAGAGTGGAGATAAAAACAGACAGAAGATTTGATTTCTCAAACATGAAAGAATTAATGTGACACTCTAGAAATGTTTAAGACGAGAGTAATATAACATCATGTAAAGCTAAAAAGGATGATTTTACATAAAACTGCCCCTTTAAAAACAGATTTAAGTGAACCAAGTCTGCTTTCGAGTAAAGATCACTGGATAGACACGATTCTGTTTATGATGAAGCTAAAGAGAATGCAAAATCCACTATTTGTTTGTTTTTATTTTCAATATTTTATATCTGTAATAATAACTATAAGTAAACTATGTAAGTGGATGAATAAAATGGATATAAGTAAAGTTTCCATCTGCAATAACCAACCGCGGAGGGTCATATTTGCATGATTCCTGAATTACAGTCGCACAAAAATAAGTCCAGCGGCCATAAATGACCCCAGGCCGCACTTTGGACATTCGTGTCTTAAACTGAAAGACTAATATCTGGAGAAAACGGCAGACAAGCAGCTTTCAACACAGACTCCACCCCACCAGTGCACCACCATGTGCCCCGGCGTTGAGATGGTGCGGACCTTCTGACCTCCCGGCGGAAGTAAACAATAAGAAGCTAGCTTGTAGCTTGTAGCTTGCTAGCTCCATTGTGCGGGTTGTTTGTTGGTTTTCTCCGGTCAGGAACAACAATGTGTTCAGCTCTGAATGTGAGAGAGTTCATCAGACAGCGGCTAGCTGCTGCTGCTGAAGAAATCTTCGGAGTTTTTGAGAAAACCATCATTCAGTATGAAGAAGAGCTCGACCGTCAGCGCAGAATGATGGAAACGAACTGGAAAACACAAACACCCCAGAAACCAGCAGGTATGGAGTTTATATGAACTCAGTAACCAAATACAGGGATGTGATCCTGGTTGGTTAATTTAACCAGCCAGGCTTAAATATGAAAGCAGCTGCATTCATTTATCAGACAGATCTGAAGAGATGACTGCCAGATTTAAAGGGCCATACACGGTCAGGATGCTGCCTGATCAGGTGATGTTCTGGGACTAACGAGCTGTTTCTTTACCCTCAGACTGAACGAACGAACGGAGCTTAAACAAGCCTGCAAAATGAAATGACTGAAACAGTCGTGTTTTTATTTTCTAGTCTAAAAATTTTTACCCATCTATGCTGAAATGTCAGGTAGAGAAAAACAGGAATGAAAGAGTTTACTGCGAGGATTAATAATCACATAAAAAGTAATTTGCAGCTGATTATGATCCTTTAGAGAGGGAAATGTGCAAAATGTACCTATAAGTTTTCATAAAAACAGAAAAATGTGCAAATAAAAGCAGAGTTATGGAGTGTTGTGTGGGAGAAAGGATCTGCTGTAGCGCTCCTTTGAGCACCTACGATGGAGCAGTTAACTCTCAACATAAAATTATATATTTTATGCATCTCAAAGCTAAACATACTAAATGTTTTTGTTAAAGCTCCAACAGTTATTCACTGTAATGCTAAAGCTAGGTTGGTTAAACCCCAAACAGGAAGTAGTTTAATCTACTTCCTACAGCTTGTTTTTCAATTAACCAGCAAAGGTCAGTAGTTTGCTTTTCTACCAAGAGTTTGTCACAAACAAATTCACCTTTTATAAAAATGTGAGTGATGAAACAGGTTTGTGTTGATGTTTTTCTGAACTTTGTCCACACCGTTTCCCTATTAGATCTTCCACAGAAACATGTTCATCTGGAACAGGAGGAGCTTCCTGCCAAGCTGCTGCTCTGCCACCAGCAGGAGGAGCCAGAACCTCCACAGATCAAAGAGGAGCAGGACGAACCCTGCAGCAGTCTGCAGACGGATCAACTGGAGCCGAAGGAAGAGTCCAAAACGTTTCTGGTGGCGCTTCTGTATGGGGAAGGTGAGACCGGAGTAGCAGAGGAAACCTTTGATGGTCTCCAGAGTCTGCATCAGGAAGGAGGCGAGGATGTAGATCTAGGATCCACAAAGACAGAACAGGTGGGTCAGGAAGGACTTGACGACGATGGCAGTGAGATCATCAACCAGGACGTTTATCCAGTTTCAGGCAATCAGAGTGTTTCTCAGGCAGGACGCGTCACCTTAAAATGTGACTTCTGTGGAAAAGTCTTTAGGAAAAAATATCACCTGAAGATGCATCACATGAGCCACACGGGAGTGAAGCCGTACGTCTGCAACGAATGTGGGAAAGCTTTCAAAGCCGCGTCCGCTCTGAGATATCATGCGAGGATGCACACGGGCGAGAGGCCGTACTCTTGTGAGACGTGTGGGAAAAGCTTCAGGTGCAGCTACAGCATGTTGGTCCACATGAGAACCCACACTGGGGAGAAGCCATACCTGTGCAACACTTGCGGGAAGAGATTCACCAACTCATCAGCCTTCAAGTGGCACACCGCCATCCACATGGGCGACCGCAGGTATTCCTGCCAGATCTGTGGCAAAAGCTTCACCCAGAGCGGAAACCTGAAGGCTCACATGAGGACGCACACCGGAGAGAAGAAGCACTCCTGCAAAACCTGCGGGAAACGATTCAGTCGGAGCAACAGCCTGATCGTCCACATGAGGACGCACACAGGAGAGAAGCCGTACTCCTGCAGCACGTGTGGAGAACGGTTTCAATACGCTGCAACGCTGAAAAAACACGCCACAACGCACACCGGCAACAATTGCACATCTGGCTGAGGTCCTGCATGTGAGGACGACGTCTGTCCAACATAGAGGAGACGAGTGTCCCGGAAAGAAATGAAAGAGATAAGAGATGAAAGAGATTGCGTTGGGGAAACGTGAAGTAAATCAAATCTATGTGAGTTTACAACATGATTTACTGGACATCTTCCAGCTATCTGCAACAGAACCAGAACACCGAGGCCTCAACAGACAGGTGGGAACTAGCTCCCTCTACTGGCCAAATGGGGGAAAAGTTCAGAAGAACATTTTAGTTATGATGAGTTTGAGACGGTTTGGTTTAATGTCAGGAAGGTTGAATCTAAACTGCAGAACATCACAGACAACCTGGAGCGTCTCATTCATGAATCCATTAAACAACAACGGTGTCTTCAGTCAGAGGCTTCTGCTGATTCACTGTAACACAGGCTGCTACAGGAGATCCTTCCTGCTACAGACATCAGCCTCTGCAACTCTTTGAAGAACCTTGGATAAGATGAGCTAAAACATTTAAATGTAATTTAGTTTTTTACAGTAAAGAATCCTTTTTTTTTTTGTAAACTTAAGTTTCATAAATTTTTCCAATTTTACTAAAAACCTTTCTTCCTTTTATCGGCCTGTAACGTTCCTGAGAGAAATAGATCTGTGGAAAACAGAAAAACCTGAATAATTTCATTAATCAGATTTTTATTAAAACACTCAAAAACAGATTTCAGTTTTTCTTCACTTCGTTTTTATTTCCCTCCAGTCAGTTTCTCTTTTCTGAACAGAAATGATATTTACATATATCAGTCAGATATGGAATATTAAAGTGATTCATGCATGTTTCTTATTTTAATATGTAAGTGTTACGGCCCGCACAGGGCAGCAATTAAGCAGGGATTCATTCACAATAGTGACAGGCGCCCGTCACAGTAAGATTTAATAATGTACAGATTCATGCAGGCTGTGCTGCTTTATATTCAGTCCTGTTCCCTCAGTTTGAATCTAAGTCACATTTTTGAGCCATAAAACAGAAAATCTGCTGGAAAAAGATCCGAGTGGAACATCGTTGAGGTGAAGTAGAACCAAACAGTTGGTGAAGTGATTTTTATGATGGTGATTCTAAATATTAGCTACTGATCAGTTAACAGACAGAAACTCTCACTGTTTCCTGTCAGGCTTTAATCTGAGCAGCATTAGGACCCTGCAGCTGTCAGCAGCATAAATATAGCAGCAGGAGCAGTGTGTGTGTGTGTGTGTGAGGGTGAGTGTGTTGTTGATCAGAACAGTTGGGGGTCATGAGGAGGCCTGGACACAGCGGATCGGTCGGTCTGCAGGAACGGACGGAGAACGGGTTCCTCTGAGGAAAAGCAGATTCATTCAGGAAGGTGCAGCTGCAGGTCAGACCGACGTGTGTGTGTGTGTGTGTTAGGTGCTGAAATGTTTTTTTTTTATTTTTGAATAAATTAGGAATAATATCTAAAAGATCTGAAATAATTCATTGTGTCCAAATTTAAAATGTATTTCATTTTAATGCAAAAACAATTAATATCAAACATAAAAATGAAAAATGAGAGAAATACATAAAACACATTTCCACTTTAACTGACCAGGCTGGAGAAACTTCACAGCTGTAATAAACTCTGGATGTTTGGTTTGTTGGGTAAATAGCTAATTTAGTTATTTATTACATATATATTATTACATTTCCAGTGATCAGCAGCATCGAATCCTTGGAAACTGAAGGTTTAAGAAAGCGGAGAGCATCTGCTGGTAGCTTCCTTTTTCTGCCACCAGATGGCGTCACCATCGCTTTCTTAGCCAAACGTGTGAACTGTTGACTCAGCAGGTAAATGCGACCAAATCAGATTCTTCCACATCCGTCTGAACGGACAAATTCTGATCGTTTTATCCCCAAAATATCTGATTTGTGTCATTTCTACATGTGGAACTAAATCACGTCTGATCGTTTTCTGCAGTCTGAACGGTCATGTCGCGTTTTATCCGACATTGTTTACATCCAGACGGTAAATCTGGATGAACAACGACTGAAATGAAAGAAGTTTGTGTCCAGTCAGGTTTCTCAGCTCCGGTCAGATGGGTTTAGTTTTATGATCGGCTGTCGGGTCTGAAAAACGCTAAAATCCATCCAGAGGCGGCGGCGGCCATTTTCCAGTAAACGCAGCGCTGCTGTCATGTCCAGGTTCTTATTCTGCAGGTCGCTTTGGGGTCAGAAACTGTTCACACACAAGTCGCATTTAATCGGTAGCATGAACGCAGAAAAAAATCGGACTTCAGTGAAAATTTGGAAATCGGAACGTAAAGAGTTTAAGATTTCTTTCTCTCTTTTCTCTGTCAGGCAATAAACTTTTACCATCAGCAGGAATCTGAGGAGTTGAGAGCAGATCTTTGTGCAGAATTTGGATAAAATCCTTATAATTTTAGTTTTGTTAAACTGCCCGTCTTTAACGCTCATGCTTCTCCTTCCGACCAGGAAGCTGTTGGCTTTGGTTAAGTACGGAGGCCCAGGAGGGTCAGACAGGATGCTGCAGCTGTGTAAAGTCACCAAGGCTCTGTTCATCAGCAACGCCCGCTCCGCCTGCAGCGACGACCTCATCCAGCAGGAGGCGGTGACGCTCTGCATCAACGTGTCCAAGCAGCAGCCGTTCCCGACCAGCAGCGGCGTCACCAGGATGCAGATCCCCGTCTACGACGACCCCAACGAGGATCTGTACCGCCACTTTGACCGCTGCGCCGACGCCATCCAGAAGGAGGCCAACCGCGGCGGACGCAGCCTGGTCTACTGCAAGAACGGACGCAGCCGCTCGGCCACCATCTGCATCGCCTACCTGATGAAGCACCGCGGCCTGACGCTGACGGAGGCCTCCCAGGTGATCCAGGGTTCCGGGTTTGGGCTTTGCAGATGTAGAAAGAAGGTGAATCAGTACCAACAGTTCCTCCATTCATATCATCATAAAACACGTCGAACGGAAATGTTGCTTCTACTGTCGGCGCCGAACTGCGATGTCCAGCCTGGTTCTGGTGCTCAGAAGAACCGGAGCAAATCACAGAGTCATCTGCATAAGTTCAGATTTTCACAGAGAAGCAGCAGAACCTGGTCCGGTTCGGCTCCAGTCCAAACAAATCAAGTTTTTACTTCAACCCGTTCAGTGAAATAGTTCTGAATGTTAAAGTCCAGTTCTCTTTCTAACAGCGACCGACTGGATGATGGTCAACAGTGACCTTTGACCTGCTGTATGTTTGACAGACACATTAAATTCCCACTGAGTTCATATTTGTAACTCTGGGTCAGAACCAGCAGCTGTAACAGGATCAGACAGAACAGATGAATGAAGCGGTTCCGGCCGGGTCCATCTGCTCAGCAGAACCGAAGGTTTTAATGTCCAAGGTGACTTTGGACCCGACAGACGGAATAAATTCCTGCTGATGTCTGAGTGACCTCTGAGCTGAGGTCACCGAGCTCAGAGGGAAACATCCAGGCTCAGAATGAATCTGATCACAGAAGGGAGCTAAAGATTAGGGTGATGGACGGAGCTCATCCAGCTCCGTCATCAGAAACAGAGGAGGAACATTTAAAATCAGTTTATTATCTTATTAGATCAAAACACCTTTAACTACATTTAGACATCAACAGTCATGGATCACTTTCCTTCTAGGACTACCATTATAAAAGTCCGCATGAGCATCTTTTTACATTTTTGGATGCTGCAGAGTCATTATTAGGAGCACTCCAATGTTCTTTACATCTATAAAATCCTTATAAGTCCTCCTTTCCAAGTTTGTATGCCATTTATCAATAATAACTGATTAAAAATAGAAAATTTGCAAAACAATAACAAGAACTCCATCCGTTTATAATTTTTTTGACATATTTTTGTAAATATGAAGAGTTTCCTAACTTTATTTACCAAAGTCCCCAATACAAAAAAGTTGCACACAAGCCTTCTAAACCAAACACAATTTATTTGGAGTTTTTTCAAAGCTTAGTTTCAAAGTTACAGCCAATTTTCTAAAAACAATAAAACGAGGGAAAATAAAAAAAATGCTTTTATCAGTGCAATCAGAAAAAAGAAGTGCAGAAGATACATTGCACATTGTACATCAACAATAAAATACAAACATTTAAATGAAAGTGTGTCAGTCTTTGTGTATTCACATGAGAAAATGTCTGTCCACATGACAAAATGTCATGATGAGAGCAAGGACTTTATTTTTTAGCATGCCCACTGGAGCACGTGCCGGAAACGGAAATGACTTTCATGAAATCTCACCTGAAGTCATGTGACATTTCATGAAATCTCGCAGTATTTCATTCTGTCAACGTCAGAACAACACAGGAAGTGATTGGCCAGACCCGAGCTGATCTACAAATATAGGGATGGATGCCACATCATGTTTGTGGACCCATCCTTTTTACTATAAATCTGTGAACTCGTCTGCGCGCACACAGCAACTCGGGGGGGATGTTTAGGGTCGGAAAAGGAAGCGCAATTCTTACAGTTTAATATGCAAAAAAAAAAAAAATTGCTCTACCTTACGTGGTTCGAATTCTACCGGCATTTGAAAAATATGTATGCATCTCGGATCGCCGGCGATCTGGTAGCCCGAATCGAGTTAACTTTTAAAGGGGCAGAGCGTTAAAAATGATTTAACAATAATTACATTTATAAAGAAGGAATAACTGAAGTGATGCAGCTTAAAGATGAAAGATTAAATTATGAAACAATACCAGGAAATCAGAAAAAAACTGTAAAATAAAAACCTTAAATTATGTCATGATCAAGAAATGAAATATGTTCCAGTTTCTTTGTTCATAATCTTGTATGATATTATTATTATTATTATTATTATTATTATTATTATTATTATTATTATTATTATTATTGTAATAACCCAACATGTATAAAATCTTATAAAATATTCTTTAAATCTTGTCTTTAATATATTTTTTCACACTTTTTTTATTTTAATTTAGTGTGAAACTTTGAATTTGTCCTCTTTGGGACAATAGAGATTATTTCTGTTTCTATTTTATTCTTTGAACTTTCAGGTTGATCTGATTGAAGCTGAAACCTGAAGCCTCTTTTGGGTCACATCTCTTCATTTCTGTGCCTCTTTAGTTGTTTTTTCTTAAACTAAAATAGTAAAAGGTTTTAAAATGTTTCCATAAACCTGCAGTCTGTTCTGCTCCTGCAGTTTAAAGGTGTTTATTTTAGATCAGTGGTTTATCTAAACCACCAGCAGAGGGCAGCACCGTCCGGATCCGGACAGAACCTCGGTCCAGAGTCGTTCTGGTTCTGATGCTTGTTGTTTCCTCCCAGAGGGTGAAGACGGCTCGGCACGTCGTGGATCCGAACCCCGGCTTCATGTCTCAGCTGCAGCGATACGAGGAGGAGCTGAGGAAGAGGAGAGGAGCGTCCTGATGAAGCTGTGGACGGTTTCCTCTCTGCTCAGAGTCACAGTTTGAATTTTAATCTGAAAACTGAAACTTCAGGTCAGTTTGAGGAGATCAAACTGATACAAACAGGAGAGAAACACTGAAATGAAATCAGCCACAAAACTAAGAGATTAGATTTGAGAAGTAAAATCATAATGACTCAGAAATACATAAATAGTGTTTATATTGTATAAAGTGATACGCTGACATGCAGTGTTTCAACTTTAGAGTTTCGTTTGTAGCAAATCTTAAAACTAAAAAATAAACCCATAAAAACCAAGTAAAACAGTGCAGAAAACATCAGATCTATTAAGTATTTTATTTATTTATCTTATAAAAAAAAAGCATAATTATTGCTGTGAAAAGTGACTGAATGTGGAAGTGAATTTTTGGCGAACGAATCAGGCAGATTGGCTTGCAGAAAGTTAATGATTTATTATTTTAATTATGAGATTTAAATGACAAACTTCATTTATTTCTCCTCTTAAACAAGAACCAGGTTCCTCAAATATATTAGTTTTTTTTTTTTTTTGGTGTTTAAATTTATTAGAGCATTTTTAGAGCAAACATGTTTTTCAAATCTGTGTTCTGTTAAGTTTTCTGGCTCCATATTTTTATGTTTTCCTCAAATTTTATCTCTAGTTTTTTCTGACCACAGGAAGGAAAGAAACTCACAGAAATACAAAAAGAAAAGGAACGAAAAGGAGCTCAAACTGATGAAAACATTTTGTTAATGATCATTTAGAAAAGGACATAAAAAGACGGATATTAGTCCCACAACATTAGAGATAAACAAATATAACTTTATTTTTATTATTATTATTATATTTGGACTCTGCAGGACAGGGAAACGCTCCACCTCTCCTCGTTGGCCTGATAGATCTGTGATGATCAGATAAATATCTCAGCTCTGATCAGAACCTTTCGATCTGAATCACTTTGTGTGAAAAGCAGGTTTGGTTTTGGACAGAAGGTGAGTTAAAGCACATTCATCATTTCATCATTTATGGAAAACAACAGATTTTGTTTTTGTTTTATCAGACAAAGGGAAATGCAATAATAAATCCAATTTCTCAAGTCTAAATAAAAAAAAGCATCTTTGTGGAAACTGACATCATGAACTGGTTCAAATATTTTACCTTAAACTTGTTTTTGTTTTTCAAACATTTAATCAAAAGCACAAATTTAAAACCAGGCAACTAGGGGGAAGTTTTAGGGATAAACGTTTTCCTGTTCAGTGTTGTAATAAAACGAATAAAAACTCAGGTCAGAACTCCATGTTTGTAAAATATTAAGGTTTTACTGGCTTCTCTAGATGAAACCATGAAGATGTTCACTGTTGAAACTTGTCAGAAGTTGTTTAAATGTGGATGTAGTTTAATAAACTTAGTGGGTTTATTAAATTTGTGATATTTGGTGAAGCTGAAGCTGTAGATGTTCGTGTCTCAGGTGAATCTTTACTCAGCTTGAATCTAATAAGTTTATCATCATATCTACTTCAAACTGTGTTCAGTTCTTGGAACATTTTAGCGTACAGTAAATGCCTTAAGTGAATTTATCACCTGAATGTGTCACTGTCCCTTTAAGAAACTGTGCACTCAGTTTTAACTGGAGGAAAATGACAGTAAATATAATAAACAGTTCTGCTTTCTGATCTGTGTGTAATCATGTTGCAGTTTGTTGGTCGTCATAGTTTCACCTCAGGTCATCATCAGATTCATCAGATAATCTGATGATCATCACATTTAATCTTGTTTTGACACTAAACTGATGTACGGCAGCCAGGAAGGCACAAAATAAGTGGCGAGCGTCAGAAGACTCAGAAGTTTGTTATTCATCCAATTCAATTCATTTCAAAGTTGAATTGTTTCTCCCAAACAGAAGTTAGATGTCTTTAGTGGGTCTGGGTGGTGATTCTGTGGGCAGAAAGACTGAAGACTGTCTGAGTGAAGAGACGGTCAGCCAGGAGCCCTGCATCATTTAAATAATCTGAGTTAAACAGGCGTTTGACAAACAGCAGGTTTTATTGTAGATGAACATGAAACACATTCAGATGCTTCAGAAGAGGAAACCCTCCAGCAGCTTGAACATGTAATATCTGGTTATTGACCTGAAGTACGAAGGTCAGTGGTGGTAAAACAGACACTGAAGCCTCTCTAGAGTCAGCAGGTTTATTTAACGAATCGGTTTCCATCAGCACTGATGCACTGAGGCGTTCCTGTGGGTTTGACGCAGCAGACGGTTGGTTGGCTGGCTGGCTGGGCGTTACTGAGGCTGATGTCCTCGGTCCCATTCCTCCTGTACCTGAGTGATCCACTCGTTGTAGTTGGACACCTTGGTGTAGATGCCCAACTTATCCACCATGCCACAGCGCTCGCCCCACGACACGAGGCCGACCAGGAACCAGGTGTCCCGGTACAGAGTGACCATCGGCCCCCCGCTGTCCCCCTCACAGGCATCGATTTTCTGACCCAGGATCCCGGCACAGAGGACGTTGTCGGTGATTTCATGGGGAAACATCTGCTGGCTGCAAGCGGTGTGATTAACCAGCGGGACTTTGATGACGTTGAGCGCTGAGCTGTACCTCCCGCTGTCATCTTTACCCCAGCCGGTCACCACTGTGGTGGTGCCGTTCAGGTGCAGCACCTTCTCGGCCAAGGCGCGGCCAGGTAAGCAGGCGGGGACGATGTATTTGGAGAACGGGGCGGGCGACTGCAGACGCATCAGGGCGATGTCGTTGTCCACCGTTCTGGAGTTGTACTTGGGATGTTTGAAGGTCTTGGCGACTCTAATCGAAACCTCTGTGCCTTCATTTCTCGTTCGCTCGTAGTCACCTGAGTAAAAAGGTCATGATCACGATGAGGTGTTACGTTTTTCACACTGCTGTCACACTATTACGTCTTGTGAAAGAAAAACTGCCTCAGGAAAACAACTCTCCCAGAATGCCGAGCTGCACATCTAAACCTGGAGAATAAGAGATTTATCATCAGATAAATCAGGCAGAAGTTGGAAAAATTTACTTACACGCCAAAGTTCACTCCTGGAACAGAACAGCCACAACTTCAACTAAAATCCTCCAGCAATGACACAGTAATGACATCACTCAATGTCACACTATGCTATACTGAGGCTTTACTCACATCAGGATGGCAGATGCTTGAAACTGAAAGTGAAACTTCTGCCGTTACGCCTTTGCTTACTGCTTGTTTTGTTCTCTTCATCCTCATCTGATCACTTTGGTTCATTCATAGAGCATTCATATTTAATGGTCAGTTAAATATGAAAAATAATGATAATAAACCGCAGGGTGGAAAGGTCATGACTCAGCAGAGCACTGTGAAGTCCACAGCACTGATCTCAGATTCATGCACTAATCAGTTTAACAGCTCATTGAAGATGACACCATTACTTCAGACTTTATGTCCAAAAAATCTCCTTCATTTTCTCTCTGTAGATCTATAGAACCAGATCTTCAACACCTCAGTGTAAATACCAACATAGCAAATACAGCAGCTCAGCATTTCAAGTTTCTGCTACATGACTGAAGTTTTTCCCAAGTTGGTGAGAGGATGAAAGAAGCAGAGGATGAAATGAAATGTGAAACCTGCTGCACTGCGATTAAAAGATGAAATAAAAGTTGCACAAATACTTCAGTATCATTTTGTCTTTGTTTTGGTGTTATGATCAGTTTGATGGTTTATGGATTCGGTGTCTGCAGACGGAGCGCTCACCCAGTCGTACGGTGAACCTGAAGTTGTTTTCCAGGCAGTGGGCAGCAGTCAGGACCCAGTTTTCATCAATCAGGACGCCTCCGCAGTGAAAATGCCCTCTGGCATTCATCACCAGCACCTAGATGTACAAACATACATGAAATATTAACAGAAAACCTGAAAACACACTGCTAAAACATTTAACTCAAGTATTCACATTACTTTAACTAGTTCTTTTTAAACCAAGCTTGACTTTAATTTGGAAGATCATTTCTTGGTAACTGGCTTTAAACAAAGTTACACCAAACCCAGGATCTTTTTTTAAAGGAATTGTGAATCCAAAATAAGATCTCAGTGTTGGCAGCATGAACTTTAATCAATCTGACTAAACATCCTTAACAAAATATCCATAACTTATCCAGCTGGTCATTTTTTCTTTTTACCTATTTGAAAATATGTTCTATTTGTTTTGCCAATCTGTACAGCAGAATGTTTTTTAACTCTTCATCACATTCAGCTCCGTCTTCATCGTCTTTAACTGCAGAGGAATCTGATCCACCGAACATTAAAACTGTCCAGTTTTAAGGTTTTCAGCTGAGACATAATGTCTCCATTGAGACGTTTTTGGTTCACCTCAAAGAGCCTTTCCAGTGAGAAATGTCTGACATACATTTTCTTCTAATGGTGTCCAGAAGGGATTCATTGCTCAACCCAACACAGACATGCAGGCAGCCTGGTTGGTGGGTTGGTGGGTTGGTTGGTTGGTTGGTTGGTTGGTTGGTTGGTTGGTTGGTTGGTTGGTTGGTTGGTTGGGTGATTGGTTGGTTGGTTGGTGGGTTGGTTGGTTGGTGGGTTGGTTGGTTGGTTGGTTGGTTGGTTGGTTGGTTGGGTGGGTGATTGGTTGGTTGGTTGGTTGGGTGGGTGGGGGATTGGTTGGTGGGTTGGTGGGTTGGTTGGTTGGTTGGTTGATGGGAGTAAAGCCATCCTACTTGAAGTTTTCCAAGTTCTTATCTGCAGCTGGAAAGCCAAAGCTGTCAGTTTGGACAGGTTGGGGTTTCTATCATTTCTGCAGCCGAAGTTGTGTTGATCTTGAGATCACCAGCAGAGCAGTTCCTGTAGACTCTGCTGGAAGATTTGGCCTTCCAGATATGAAGCTCTAAAACAGACGATTACCGACTCCAGGGTTGGGAATGAATTATTATTCTGAAGTTCAAGTATTTGATGGTTTATGTTTGAGGTAGAATGGTAAAAACCAGTCAAACTGTGCAGATAAAAATCTCTTTTTCAGTATTCTGGTCAAACATGAGGTGTCTGCTGAACTCTGAGTGTTTCCCTGTTGCTTGGTTACCTGCCAGGGACTCTCCCCCTTCTTGCCCACCTCCCCTCCGACCGTCCAGGGCAGCAGGCCGTCCGTCGGCTCGCTGTACTCCGACCTGTTGATCAGAATCTGACCACAAGACGAGGAACCTGCAGCACGAAACAGAATGTTAGCATGTTAGCAGGAATCCAGGCCAGTTGATGCTTTGTCTTTATAGCTTTATTCGGTTACATCCAGAGGAGCATGCTACATTCCTGTTCTACTTCAAAGCTGGAATTTTATGATTTTCAAGTTTGTAAACTTCAGAACCCCTGAAGCAAAAATCTTGACCTAAAAAAAGTATTTTTGACCTTTTACCTCAAAATTGCAGGAGAGATAAACTTGTAATTTGCACTTCTGTCGGTCTGTAACTCCTAAATTGCTCACCTTCATGGTATGGTTTACCATCACACTGGCAGATTTCACTGGTTCCCAGTTTGCAACTGGAAAAAGGTTAACATGGGTGTGACATCATCGTGATGTCAGATTTGTAACATTAAAGTTGAAGGTTGAATCCATCTTTAGCCTAGCACAGCTTTAGTCGTGCTCAGGATGTTCCTCCACCTACTGGTGGGTACCATGTATTGCAGCATTTTTAAATTGAAAACATCAGTTTAAAAATATTCTGAGTGTTGCGTTAAAGCGTCATCAGAGCCGTCAGCTGATCTGAGGCTGGGAGTCGCTCTCACTTCTCGGGCTGCATTTCCTGGAGTCGTCGTCCAGTTTGTATCCGTTCAGGCAGCTGCAGCTCCGCCGCGCGCCGTCCGCGCTCTCTGAGCATTCATGGTCGCAGTCGCCGTTGTCCACAGAGCAGTTTGTGGCTGTTACATCTGGATGGAGTTTAAAAAATCAGGCATCGTAAATAAATGTTTGGTTTCGGGTTAATTTGTCGTGTTTTTCTCTTTTTGTTGTGACATGATGATCATATCCACATTAGAACCGGGTCTGAACTGATACCAGCCTCCTGACCCGAACCCTCATCAGGTTCATATTTTTGACCCGCAGACAGAAGGTCGGACTCACTGTGTTGGCAGTATCTGCCCTCGTATCCATGGTAACAGACGCACTTGTAGTCCTGGTGCTGATCCATGCAGTCTCCATGGACACACATGTGGGACTGACACTGGTTCCCATCTGAAACAGACCACAGACCTGATCGGATCAGACCGGACCGGATCAGACCGGACCGGATCGGACCGGATCGGACTGGATCGGATCGGACCGGATCAGACCGGATCGGACCGGACCGGACAGCGTCAGAATCCGCTGCTGCAGAAACTCTGAGTTTTCACTTTTATTAACCAGGTTTTACTGCAGCTTCCTGCTTCATACAAGTTCATGTTTCTGGTTTAGCTCAGTTATTGTTTGTCAATAATTCATCTACAATAACAGACGTACGTCAGACCAGCTGGTTTTTCCATCAGGGATGCTGGAAGTTTTCTGAGAAATTAGAGCATGAAGACAAACAAAACTCTACAAAAATGATCCATCAGGATTCTGTTACATTTATTATTTTTATCCTCAGGTTTTTATATAATTACTGACTATAAGGATCTTTTTCTTAATGCTGTCGGTGTTTAAGTGACT